AAACAAAAAGTAAATCAACCATTATGGAGCATATCCAAACATAACAAATCATACTTTTCTTCTAATATCACTTAACGAAAATACAAAAATACAGAACAAGAGAATAAAGAAGAAGCCACAAAACAAAATTGCCTTAATTATTTGTTGAATAAATTTGTTTTTCATTTTAATATATTTGGCCTCATGAAGCTCATGCAGATCTCCCATGGGTTCCACGTGGACCTTATGGTTGTGTTTGAACTACAAATTCAAGTAGAGATTTGAAAAAAAAAAATAAATAAAATGTAATTTTATTTTATTAACATTTTATTCATATATATATATATATATATATTTTAAATCACTACCTAAATTTATAAACCAAACAAACCTGATGCCTATTTGTAACTTTTGTTCCCTCAAACAAAAAAGTTGAAAGGGTGAAAATTGGAACTGATTGAAAAAAATTGAAAGAAATCACTGAATTGGATAGGACTTCACATCGCATTAAGCCATACATTAGTGAAGAATCTCATACAAAATTTCAACTTTCTACATGATTATTTGTGAGTCATGAAACCTCTTAAGTCTCGTTTGAAAATATATTATTCTAATTATTATTTTTATTAAAATATGAGCTTAAAAAAATTAATATATTTGGAATGACTCTTTAATTTTTTACGAAAAGATATACAAAAAGTATAGAGAAAAGAATTTTTTTGACTTTTTAATATATGTTATTGACTTTTTAATTTTTTAGTGACTTTTTAACTTTTAAACTCAAACAATAAGTTATCAAACGAGACCTTAATATATAGTTTTACTACATTCTTTAATTGTGACTCTCTAATTTCACCCCAAATGAGTGACTAAGACCTATGTAAGGGGAGCATCTATTTACACACACCACTCTCTCTATATACACATCCTTCACACATAACTTTTCAACACACTCTCTCATTAAGTATGTGGGAAGAGGGGATCTGGTGTGTGCATATAGAAGCTCCCTATGTAAAGTGATTCTATACTCCTTTCTCTCTATCTCTATCATCTTCAGTCCCTTTTAATTCCACATTATTAAGAGTGAAATTGGAGAAGAGTAAAATTAGGAGATGTATCATTTTTTCTTAGCATATTGATGTAGGCCGAAAGGTACCACATTGAGATTGTTTAAGTTACATTTATAATATTTGAATTTTATTTATTTGGTGGAGATGATGTTTTTTATGCACTTGTATAGATTCGGCAGGTAACACGCAAATTCAAGTATGAAGTGGTGCAAAAACAAATCCTCCGTGCGAGTAGTGAAAATTCCCGGCCTGCACTGCACGTGCGGCCAGACTTTACCGTAATGTGGCCCACCACCGCTCAAGCGGCCCACCTAGGGTTGCGTGTATGAAATTTCAAGTTTATTTTGCTAGGAATAAAAGGCTGGATTAGGGGGTCGAAAAATCCAAAAAAGATAAGGGACTAAGGTTTGGAAAGGGAGATTTTCAAGCTTGAAGAACATCTTTCATGGGGGTTTCATCTTCTTCCACCTCTTCTCATTCCTTCATGAGTGACTAGACTTATATTTCTAGGGTTTTAATGAAACCCTAGCCAAGTAAATAGGGTTTTCTTTTTGGTTTTGATTATGTAATGGTTTGAACAAGTTGTATGGTATTCAATAAGTTTTTACATATATTTTTCATTATTTCTTCAAGTATTCTACTTTCTGTGATTATTGAATACTTTTCATGCAATGGTTTTCTATTCTTTCATATTCAAAGTATGAGATAAGCTATACTACGAGGAACGAGTCGTTTTGCTGCTATAGTTTGGAGCGAACGATTCGTGCTACTTGAGATGGTTTGTGCCCATACATTGAATATAATAATTTTCTTGATCAATGCTTCGAACTTATAGTAACGAAGTATTATTTGGTTCGAACCGTAACATAATTGATTTTTAAATTGATACCTTACTTATGTAACTAGTAGTGAATTCATTACTCTAGGTTTTTCCAAAATCAGTAATCTCAATTTTAGTTTTAATCGCTAGTTTAATTTGTTAGGAACCGTTTGGTAACACTTACGTTTCTAGTTTTCTGTTTATATTTACAAAAATTTTAAAAACTAAAATTAAAACTTGTTTGGTAAATTTTTGATTTATAAATCAGTGGTCTCAGTTTATAAATTTGGCCAAAAAATGTAAACTCAGAAAATGTGTTTCCATTTTGAATTTTCAGTTTTTTTTTTTACCACCCAACACTAGCCACCACCTGCCACCATTTTCTACCACCGTCTTCCACCACTACCCCCCACCCCCACCTGCCATCACCACCACCACCTGCCACCACTTACCCACCCACTGCCACCACTCGCCATCCGCCACCCACCTGCCACCGCCACCCACTTCTTTTTGTTATGTGGTTTATGAACTTGTTCAACCACATTTGCCTTGGACTCAATGGGATTTTTCCCATTCCTCTTTTCAGCCTTTCGCCCCACCCCCCCCCCCCCACCACCACCAGCCACCTGTCACCCACCCACCCACCACCACTGCCACCTATCACCCACCGCCACCTACCTACCACCACTACTCACCACCACCCACTCGCTACCACCTACCACCCGCCACCGTCACCCACCTACCCACCCACTACCACCCACCACCCACCGTCACCACTTTCCACCACCGTCTTCCGCCGCCACTTGCCACCACTTGCCATTTCTCACTCTTTTTTATATTTTTAAATTTTTTTAAACATTTTGTCAATTACCAAACGCGTTTGTAGTTTATGTTTTTTTAAAAATAAATAAAAAATAAACAAAAACCAATTTATAAATTTTTTATAAATATAAACTGAAAACGTAAACGTTACCAAACACACCCTTAGTATTTTAATTATCATTAGTATAAACATTCGTCTCTTTGATCAGATTAATTTAAGAATTTAACAATTAAATTAGTTTAATTTCACATTTGTCTCTATGGATTGATAGCTGAATTTACCATTATTCTAAGAAATTTGATATAATTTAATATTTATTTTTGATGTGTTTAACGACACATCACATATTATTAAAATATGATATACCCTAATATACACCATTAAGTTTTGATAGTGATGGGTGTTAGACAATCTTCACTGTATTTAAAAAGATTAAATTCTATTGTGCACAAAACAACAACTAGAATATTAAGAAATAAAGAAAATGAGAGAATTTGTTTGATTACAAAAATCAAACTTGAAACAAAAATAAAAAATAAAAACAGATTTTATTTGTTACAAAAATAAAATTAAAATCTGATTTAAATAAATAAAACAGAATAATAAATTAAACAACTTACTTGATTAGTTTCTTTAAATAATTATCAGATCAAGTCCAGTGTTTGACACTGTATCCTTAAGACAGATTCGTCCTCTCCACGGTACTTTCAGAATTTGGACGTCTATCTCCCAGAATATAATGATCTACTACAAACAATAGCAGCACTACAAATTGTTTGCCTAACGAACACACTAAGTATTTATACTCTCTCTGACAAGAAAATAATGCAGCAAAATGAAGAGGATGTTTGTAGAATTATGAAGGACGAAAATTTGAGTTCTCTAAATCCAAATAAAGGCTGTCCTATTTATAAATGGAATGGTGGCTCTAGGTTTTGAATTGAACAGGTATGAAACTTGTTGGTTTTGAAATCAAACAGATTTGAATCTGTTGAGTTACAATTCAAACAGATAACAAAAACGGGAAGGGCCTTGTTTGGGTATACAGTAAATTCGGATCAGATTATTTTCGATTTAATACGGGAAGGGCCCTGTTTGGATGTACAGAAAAATCAATCCAGTTTAATTTGAATTCTGGATTTTATTTTACCAAAAATAAAATAAAATTCAAATGTTTTTGACTCAAAAAGATTAATATTAGGCCGGACAAGCCCAACCCAACCTCACACCACGCACCCGTGCCCAGGTCCAGCTCGCCCGACCAAACGGACGGCGGCGGCGCGCGCATGTGTGGTGATTTTTGGGTCCAATGGGTCTAGCCCATTTTACCTATAACCTCTCCCTCTAAAACACTTGGGTATCCCTTGGGGCACACCCCAAGTACCAAACTCATGCCTTATAAACCCATTCAAAACTTCCCACCAAATCAATGTGGGCCAAGCCTTATTCAAACCTTTAAGGGTTTTCCATCAAAATTCCATTTCCATGAAGCACACTTTGGCTTCAATTTCCCATTCACTCGGTAATGGTTTTGAACAACCAAATATACCACGTGAATCACAACGCGGCATAGAACGCGTTACCATTTTGACCTGTGAAAATCGACGCACGAGGCCCACCTAAAAAATAGACCAAACTTAGGAAAAAATTCTGATTTTATCACTACAACAAAAAACACTTTTAGCGACCTGTTTTTTAGTCACCAAAAGTGTAATTTTGGTTGCTAAAAGTATTCGCAACATGAACAAAATTGGTCACTGAAGCCCTGTCACTAAGTGCTTCGGCGACCAAATCAATTTTGGTTGCCTTTATAAATAAATTGGTGACCAAATATTTCCATCGCCAAAAGACTAAAATTTCGTCACTAAAAGTAGCCTTCAGCTGATGACATGTTAAGTTTCAGCGACATATAAATGCGTCGCTAAAAATATCTTTCAGTGACTAAAAGAATTGGTTGTTGAATGTTAAACTTTTGGCAACCAATCAAGTTTTGGGTCGCTAAGAAAATTGACACATACTTTCAGCAACATAAATAAAATGTCACCAAAAGTAAATTTACAACTAAAAAAACCTATCACCAAAAATTCATTATTTATAATTTTTTTTAACAAATTCCCTGTTCAATACATAATTCACAAACCTATAAACATAAGTAAAATATAATTCAAATTAGCACACTTGTGCAAAGTATCCAAAATATAATCTTAATTCAAAAGTAGTACCATATTAAATATAAACAACATATCAAATCCAAAACATCCATTTAAGTACAAATCTCTTACAATCCCAAACTTGAAACATGTAATGCCCAAAAACCTTATAAGCTTGCAAATTCATAACAAAAACCTAGGACAAAATATATCAAAAAATTCAAAATGTAATCCTTTAATGCTCCTCGAACTATATTTCATCCATTGCCAATTTGTCAAACATGTGAAAAAAACTTCAAACATGTAATTCCAAAAAATCTTCCAAGCTTGCAAATTCATTACAAAAATCTATGACAAAATATATCCAAAAATTCAAAATGTAATCCTTTGATGCTCCCCGAACTATATTCCATCCATTGCCAATCTGTCAAACATATGAAAAAAAAAATTATAATGTTAAAATGTTAATAATAAAGGTCTTGGTCTAAAAACATTGGTTTCACATTATAGATGAACAAATTGAGAGCAAATTTTCCTACGGTGAATTACAAAATTTCAATATACCAAAATCAAAAAGTAACACATGATTCACTAGTTAAACTTGGCGTATATTCCCAGACTCTACAAATGGATCGAAGAGTATGTTAATTGCTCTGTCATCAAAGAACATCTGCCACCCAGAGAGAAACTACTCGCCTCTGCCAAAACATATTTTCAACAAAAATAAAAATATGCAGTTTCGAATTACAGATCGGTTTTCTTATGTACTACTAGTTCTTGTGTTCTGTGTTGCGAATAAATTGAAGTACTTTAAATTTCTATGTATAAGAGGCTAGTTATCGCTCTTGTTTCATTTCAAATAAAAAGTGATATTTTTGTATACAAGCTGTGAAAGAGTAATGTTGTGCATTAGAAATAGAGTAATGATATAGAAACATAAAAAATAAAAATAAAAAGTTAAACATAATTTGTATATGGAAGTGCATTAGCCACAAAATCTTGATAAAGAATGGCAGTTGAGTCAGTATTGCACAAAACAATGAATAAACAAAGAATTTTCTACACGGAAAAAAAAAAGAATAAATAAAGAACGACTCGGAAAAGGATCTGTGCAGAAGGAAGTGTCATGTATCAGTACACCACCTCTTCCCCCACACTTTTAGCTTAATTAATTCAAGTTCAACCATGAAGAAGGGTTGTGACCACTACTACAAAAACAGATAAAGATCACACTTTGATACATGAAAACATCTCACTTTTATTAGAAGTGTGATAAAAAAAATTAGATTAATATTTTCACACTTGATTGGATTGAGTGTGATAATATTTATTTTTTTATCACACTTGTCAATTAAGTGTGATCATATTAGTGACACTTTTCAAATGTAACATACTTTTTTAATCACACTTTTTAATTAACATGTGATATATTTATTTTTTATGTCACTTTTCAATTAAGTGTCATTATATATATATATATATTTTTTATTACACTTTTCAATTAAGTGTGATTATATATATACATTTTTTAATCACACTTTTTAATTAATACCTTGTGGGGTTTGCAAGGAAGATCCCCCTATTTCTTTCCTCTCCCATCTATTAGACCGCCTCCTTGCAGTGATATTTCATTGATTCTGTAGAAGATAAGCCATTGGTGCTTCCTGTAACTATCTAGCCACAAATCAGGTCCATATGGTGGCATAAGAGTGCCATCAACCTATAAAAGAATGTAAGTACCAAAAGACACTAGTCTTTTTTACCATTGGAGTCCTGAAGAAAGTTTCAAGAGGAATAGAATGACAACATTAATTACTTGGAACACAAAACCACTCTGACAAGGACCAGTGAAAATTGTGGATTGAATCATGAAGGAATAACGGTAGGGAACAAGGAGGACCCCTGACTCAAATAAGCAGCCCATGTCCCATGCTATTTTGAATGCCTCTGTGTCATCTGTTATTCCATCCCCCACAGCACCAAATTTTCATACATAAAAAATGCCAGTACTTGAATTGTAAGAAGTCCCACCAGTAGTTGGGTCGGAAGGTTCAGGTGGAGGAGAAAGGGGTTGTGAAATTTGGGATAGCGGAGGAGAATGGTGCTTGTGTTTCAATCTAGTTTGGCTGCTGATACTGAACAACCAAAAGAAATGTAAAGAACTAGAAACGACATAGTGTAATGCACCATTATCAGCTTAACTATGCTCAAACAGCTAATCTAGAACAAGTTGATGTTGAACAGAAAGAAATCAATCAATACTACCAGAAATGTACTTTCAATTGTAGCTTGAGAATATAAACAGTTGAAACAGCTTTGTCACTATCAATAAGTGGATGAAATGATTGAGAATTGAGTGCATCCCATGTTTAATGGATGAAAAAAAATCCTTTTGCTCTCCACATTATGAGCATTTTTTTTAAATATTATTTTTTGATCTTGGAGTGCAATGACCACAGTTGTTTGTTTGTATTAATTTGGACTGACTAATATTATTGTGTTAGATTGTGGTTGATTCTTACTAATCTCTCCTGTTGAAATTGTGGAGATTTTAGGTATATAGACATCTCTCAACCACATTGCCCGAAGCAATCTCTCCTGTTCGAGGATCAATCATCTGATTTCGCATTTTAGGTTTCTCTCTCTCTCTCTCTCTCTCTCTCTCTCTCTCTCTGCATTAACATTTTCATCATTTGAAGTTGGTTCTCTGTTTTTTACTTCATTTTTCTGTGCTTCTTATCTCTCAATTGTCTGGTTTTTACCGATCTATTCATGTGTTTTTGGTTTATTGATTTATTTCCATGTCTTAGAATCTCTCCATCTATTCCTCAGAAATGCCATACATTTGTATAGGTGAACTTGTTTTATTAGTGGGGGGGACTCTAAAAACTCTAAAAACTAACAGTTTAACAGTTTTGCTTTTGTTAGAGTATATTTGACATGAATCATGTAGTAGTGAAGAGAATATTGATCCTTGCATTAGTGGTAGGCATCAAGGAAAAAAAAACTCATTGAGGAAAATAAGAGGCTCAGAACCATACTGCTATTCTAATCAAAATCACCCAAGGCTAACAAATCAATAGACACAAAAAGCACACTGCAACAGATCAAGAACCAAGTCCAGACCAGAAGAAATACTGCTCCTGCTGCTCTTCCAGAACAAGGTCAATACCCAAACACACCAGACACTACCCAAGCACACTGCTGCTGCTCTGCTATCTTTAATGACTATATGCACACCAATCCCATTTGATTTAAATAATAAAAAAAGATCCCAAAAATGCTATTTTCCTCAAATTAGCTTCAAGTTTTGCTACAAATCTCTCTGAACAGCTCCATGGTTTCATCATACCTCCAAACATGTAAACATAATAACCATTGATGCTTCTATTCTTGTAATCCTACTTTGTTACATGTTTTACCCTCCAATGATTTAATTTCCTTTTGCAAGAGCTTCAAACCAATCAAGTTCATTAAAATATTTGTAAGTAGTAAAACAATAGAGCAATTGACTTGTTTATGTTAAATAAAAATAAATAAATAATAATAATTGAAAACTGACCAAGTGAAGAGAAACATACCTTAAAGCCTTTAATAATTTTAAAAATGCACTAGAAGCAACAATTCCAAATAGTCAATTACTCTTTGGTTATTCTAATACCACTATTCCTGCAACACCAGATAAATCCATTTCAGATAGTTATTTTCAGTACCCAAGAATGTTTAAAACAAAAAATAGGATCACCATATATGCATTATAAATATGGTCCCCTGTCTGGATCTGGTTTGATGTAAATTTCTTGTTCCCAAGCATCCACAAATAAAGATCACTTCCACTACAAATTGATTGAGAGAATCAATAGAATTCACTTCCATTTCCCAAGAAATCATGAAATAGAAAACAAAATCACCATACATGATAGTGATGAGTAAAGAAATGTTTTTGGGGCAAAAGAAAATTTTATTAATAAGTAATACAGGGGTTCCAACTTGGAAACAAAATTCTTTATAAAAAAAATTATAAGAAATCATTACAAAACTTTCTTGATACCTCTAAATACTCTCGAACTCATCGAACAACACCTCCTCGGCGACTTCTCTCCTGTTGACAGCTTCCATATCAATAGCCTCAGCAACACCAGCTCGATTTTCACAGCATTCGATTCTGCAACCAGTGTTCAAACCGAGGGTTCAAGCTCTCAATCTTATTCCTTCTGTTCACAGACTTTAAGCTCTGACTCTACCATCGCAATCTCTGATTACCTGGACTCGAACCAAGTTAACAATACTGGAAATTTTGATTTTGTTCAAGATCGACCTAGCTCCGGTCAAGAAATTCGAGTGGTTGGATTTCAGCCAGCCAACTAAGCCAGCAGCAGTTTCCGAAGAGAAACCGTTTAGTAGGCACTACAGAGGCGTCCGGCAAAGGAGGTGGGGGAAGTTCGCGGCGGAGATCAGAGATTCGAAGCGGCGAGGGTCTAGGGTTTGGCTAGGGACATTCGACACTGCCATTGATGCCGCCAAGGCCTACGATCGAGCCGCATTCAAGATGCGTGGGAGCAAAGCCATTCTCAACTTCCCACTCGAAGTAGGAAATTGGCGTCACTCCTCCTCCGCCGGCACGAAGAGGCGGAGAGAGGTTGAAGAACAAACAGAGGAAAGGTCGGTGAAGAAGGAGAGGTTACTGGAATCTGAAGCATCGGTGGCTAGCAGTGAAGCGAGTTGTTCTTTAACGCCGTCTAGTTGGACAGCCCTATGGGATCAAAATGCAGATGGTATCTTTGACGCCGCGCTGTTATCGCCGTTATCTCTTCAGCCTTTGTTGGGCTATTCACAAGTCATGGTCATTTAAAGGAGTAGTTTTTTCGCGAGTTGTACTAGTTTTGGATGTATATAGGGAATGCCGTGAGGAATCGGAAACGTTTTACAAATGACAAACCATGTTTGTAGAGAAAATTGTCCACGTGGTTTGAAACAGCAATGCTTTGATTATGAGAAAAAAAAAAATTTGTATTATTAGTTGATTTGAATTTATATGAACTTGAACATGATTTTGTTTTTAAAATTATGTTGATTTGATAAGTATAAATTGTTTAATTTTTTACTAAAAAATAAATAATAATTGTATTTTTAAAAATAAATAACATATGTTTTAGTTACAAATGTAATAAATTGAACAAATTATAGTTATTTGATCAATTTAAATTTTTTTTTTGTAAGCAAAATATACGAAATGTTTTAAAAATAAACGATTCAAATTATTAAAACGATACCCCATAATAGATGTCACGGACCAAACAACACATTCTAGTCCAAAATTTGGACTAAAGGTAGCCTCCTCCATTGATTTAATGATTCCCAAAATACACTCCTAAATACTAAAATATTATTTTTCATTTTCCTTTTCTTCCAAACACCTCCACAGAGGAAGACCCACCACAATCCCCGCCCTCTCTCTGCCACCACCACCACCTCCATCCACAACATTTACACACATGCCCCCAAGAGCACGTGCATCCTCTCTCTTCTCTCATCCCGTCTCATCTGTATTCTGATCATAACGTAACCCCTCTTTGGCTCTCACTGTTTTTCTCTCACTTTCTCTCTCTAAATTGACGCATTACACACAGAAGAGAGAGAGAGAGAGAGAGGGGGATGGTACACAACAGGCTGCCAGGCAGCGGACACAACAGCCCGTCGCCGCAGCAGTCGCCGCTCCTGTCGCCGAATAGGCTCAGGCACTCCGGCAGCCGGTCGAAGCAAGGCCGGTTCAACTTCTTCGGTAATCAGCCCCCCTGAACCCTTGCTCACCCCCTGGCCTGGTCCCTCCTCTCTGTCCTCCTCCGCAGACAAGGCGTCGTCCTTCTCCCTTCATTTTTCTACGGCATGTCTATATTACTGTGCTGCACTGATCTTGACTTTTTATTATAATGCCAGGGCAACTTAAAAATTAGAAGTTGATGCATTTTATAAAAGATTAATGCTTCCTATCCCTATTGGGAGTCGACCCCCAGTGAGGTGTCACTGGGAATTGGCCTAAAAAAAATTGTTTTTTTTTTATTTTTTAAAGTTTTCGGTCAGTAGGAGCGCGCCACGTCATTGGGGGCACGACCCTCACTGGGAGTATGCAGCGCGGTTGTTTTATAAAAGAGTAATATTAGGAATTTTAAATATTTTATTAATATTTTATTAAATATGTCATATAAATATGAGATTTATATGAAATTTATATGGTGTAGATTTTACATTTATGTAAGATATTTGATAAAAATATTGATAAAACATTTGAGAATTCTAACATTTTATTTTGTAAAATGTCATTGAAACTTTGTTTGGTTTGGATTTTCTAAACATATTTTTCAAAAAATTTTATTTTCTTTATTTCTTTTCTTTTTTTCTTTTTTTTGTTTTTACTAAATTTTTTTAAATATTTTAAGTAATTTTTTTAATTTTTATATACACCTAACATAAATATACTTAAAAAATATAATTTTTGTAAAAAAAAATCTTTAAAAAATTCATTAAATACCAAAAGTACAAAAAAAAAACGAAAATTCAATATATATTTTTTTGTATTTTTGTGTATTTATTAATATTTTGAAATATTTTTTCACAAATATTTTACTTTTTAGATATATTTAAGTAAGGTGTATTTAAAAAATAAAAAAATGTTTAAAATTTTAAAAATATTTGTTAGAAACATAAAATCACAAAAAATAAAAAGTTTAATTTTTATAAAACTGAATTCAGAAAACTAAAGGGAAACGCATTGATTTGTTTTTTTTGGTGGTATGTCATTGAAACTTCATTAGCAGTACTAGTGGGCGTTTGGCAAAAATTATGTTAGTAGGCTCAGTGGTTCAGTTTTTTTTTTTTTTTTACAAGCCAAAAAAAGTAACTTTATTAATAAAAATTGATATGTATATAACACTAGACAAAATTAATAAAGAAAATGCAACTACATAAACTTAAAGTATCAAAGCAAAGTTAATCAATGATAGTTCACAACATTTTCAAACAAATAGTTTTACTTTTCATGCTATTTGTTATGGGTATAAAGGATTAATTTAACGAACATTGATTTAATCATATACCATTTTATTACAGCCTTTTTTTTAAAAAAACAATTAAATATATACATGATGCCACCATCTCCACTGCATTTTCATTATTGCTTTGAATAGTTATACAAGAATTTTTATTCTATTTTTTTTAAATCCAAACTCATACAATAATTTGAGGTAGGTTATACTCATTTTGGTTAAGATCGATCTTGACTTCTTAGTAGTTTCACAAGTGTCTTCCAGTGCTGGAATGAACTTCCTAAAAGACAAACGAACCCTTGTCTAAAGCTAATTATGTTTCATAACTGATATGGTTATCACTTTGCAATCAAAATTATGATTTATTTCAAATAATTACGGAAAAAGCATATCACTACAACATTTTTCTGGACTTCATTAAATTTATATTAGTATGACTATATGATATGTCAACATGAGATTGTTCTTGGGATTCTTTTCTTCAATTGATCTCGAAACTGAATGATTTAGAAGTTTTGAGGAATTCCTAAGGGCTGGGCTCATTGAAATAAGTTTCATTTCTTTGATATGTCTGAATTAAAACTCCATTAGGGTGTTTATTAGCCATATTACTTTTAACAAAATTAAAAATTAAAAAGAATAGAGAGAGTCAATTTTGAAGATATCAACCTATAATGTCACCACAACAAGAAACTATTCTGGTGACTAATTAATTTAAAAGAGCTATGTCACCACAACAAGAAACTATCATGTGCTAGCGATAAAGGTTAGGTGTTGTTTATAAGCAGAGGAGAGTGATTAGGCTGTGTTTTCAGTCTCATTTGTTAACTTGTAGTGTAGAGGGGCTATCTAGTGTCTTTTTATTTTCTTGTTGCTTGATACAGTTTTCTTGCTCTGTTGGATTGGTCCCTCACCAGTCCATGGGTCAATAACTTCAATATTGGGGTAAATGGAATGCATCATATGTCATGCAATTCAAATAACTACTTGAACAGAAAAGGTCTTTTTCTTCTCATGTGGTTCATAATCATACAAATCTTAAATGTTCAGTCATTACCAAAACTCCGATTCAAATTACAATCAGAAAGTATACAAAAAAGTAACTAAAGAAAGAATTAGGATGGAGAAATTAAACATAAATCTTTCCCCTCCAGAAACAATACTTTAATTTACTTTCACAGTATCTTAATCAAATTACAAGGTTCATATCTTAATC